TCGATGAAAACACTCGTAGCGCTTGGCTTTCTACGAGGTATGGTTGTACACTTTTCGATTTGTGTACTTCCAGAATCACAGATTTAAACTGCAAGAACGAAGTCTTCAACAACGTGGAAACTGAACGCTACAGACCCTCAATCTCCTGTGGACAGCATGGCATAAACACTCTTAAGTTGGGGGAGCTCAAAAAGACAAATGCCACCAAGTGTCAATCACATTCTCAAAGTCTTCGAAGTCCGAAGCCACCAGCAAACTGAGCCCCTGCAGAAAAGATGAGATTTCTTCCTCAGGGGCTCACCATTCACTCCATGACAGCTCGAACCGAACGGAGGCTCGGTCGCTACGTCAAAAGTCTATCTCCAACACTAATGCCATCCCTGCTTGTTTCATGATGATGCATGCTGGAGCAACAATGAGTTCATGTCCTGAATTTGATGCATGCTTTCGAAATGAGCACTCTGCACTCAGGAAGAATCTTTGAAACCAGCTAGGAAAGCGCTCCAAATGCTGAAAGAAGGTTTGGGCTCGGTTTGCTCACCCAAATGATACTCAAATAGTGGAACTCCCCAGAGTCACCATGGAAGTGGACAAGTAGAGGAACTTATGGCTTCTAGCTACTCTTAGCGATGGCCTCCACCCTAGTAGCGATGGCCTCCAACCTAGCGGCTTCTAGCTACTAGTAGTAATGCCCTTGTTACTAGTAGCGATGCACTTGTTACAACTTAAGTAGTGGTCACCTTTCAGAAATGGTTGAGCTCACGCTGTCCGTTTGGACCTGGTCATTCGCTAAGCAGTCCTCTGACTGCATCATCTCAGGCAAGAGTTCAAAGGGAAGCTTGCCTGCGAGCAATCACTATCAAACCCCAAGGTCTGAAGATCTGTGTCATCCTTCAATGTCTGTTTTTCGTGCGATCCTCACAATTATTCAAGGGGGCCTTACCTTCTTTCATCTCTTGGACTCAGAGCAAAGGACGCTACTAGGAACAAGTGCCACGCTACTAGGAACAAGTGCATCGCTACTAGTAACAAGTGCCTTACTAGTAGTAACAAAAAGAATTTATATAATTAGAATTGTAATTACTAGCAAAGGAATCTACTAGGACCTCTCAGCTTCTCCTAGCCTTCAGCGTTCTTCTGGAGCAAAAGCTCTCGCCACCGGCTTGCTGGCAGCAGCCGAGAGAGCGTGCCCAGGAGCCGCGCATCCCTCAAACGAACCGCCTCAACAGCTGGAACCCATCCTATGCGGTCCTATTGTCCTTGCGGGGAGATAGGCAGCTAATATAGTAGAGCTAGTTGGAAGCTACTGGGGACTGGAGAAGGCTCTGTTTCTTCAAAGAAGCGAAAGGCCTCCCTTTTGACGAACCATTTGCATTAGTGATTTGGTTCCTAAATTTTCAGGGAAACCTTTAGACCGTTCTTTCTTCCCTAGCCCTTCCTTCCTTTCCTTTCCTTTCCCTCCCTTTCCTTTCCTTTTTGGATGGCTTCATGCAATGCGTCCAACTGGTGGATCTATTTGGGGGGTATGCTTCGAGGCACCCACCCAGTTTCCAGCCTTATGGATGACACCCTCAGAGTTAGTGTAGATCTTCTCAGCTATCCTCAAGTCGCAACGGGTTCCAGAAGGAGATGACATGAGGAGTCGTCAAGATCTGTGGTTTCTCTACCAACCCTTGGTGTTTTAGAGTCCTCCCATAAGTCAGTACAGTTCAATGAAATGACTCCTCCATGTCGCAATATTGACCATCTCTACATGGCAAAGCCACCCTTCACAAAGGTGACCTCTCTCCACGCTTTTGCTCGGCGAAAGAATCATGGTATGAACAGCAACACAAAGGCCAACAACAAGAAGAAGAAGAAACAAGTATCTTTAAAAGGCTATTCATCTCATTGCAAGTATCTCTTTGCAATAGAAACATCAACGCCAGGAGGGGTTGCTCATTCGTTGGAAAGAACATGTTAAAAGAATCCAAATAAATCAAAATAACTCTTACATGTTGTGTTTAATGTTTCTCAGTTTCTCAATAAAGAATAGAAACCAATAACCCGTTTGAGGAGCTCATTAAGGAGCTGCTCTTTGAGCCACGCAGCGCAATCAGAGTGGCATTGAGGTCTTCCGATCGCTCTGCCTTGGACTGGCCATACAGTAGGTCCGCAGGTAGGAATAAATCATAGTTCTTTCGAAAATGCTCACTTATGTGTTTCCGTCCTACCGTTCTGAGGGTTATTTATCTTTTTTGTTCCAGGTGCAATTCGCTGAAGCCTATCCTAGGACGAAGCAACAGCACGGCCTGCCTGAATCTGCAATACAGCTCCTCGACAAAAAGGACAACGCGCCTGCAAAGTTGATTTTGACGGCTCCAAAGGACCGGAAAAGCTTGTTGCAGGTGAAACGATTCCCATCTCAAACAGAGATGTCAAACATGATCAAAGTGACAAAGCAGGGCAGGGATTCGGCCTCAGAATCAGGTGATTCAAAAAGCCACCGATTTGCCGCCTGCCAGCGACATGCTGTGCAGTTTTACGGGCGACTTTTTGACAAGTCAACCAGCTCTGCCCGTGATGAGCCTAAAGAAAAGGGCAACAAGAAAAGATTCAAACAACCTGATGTGCACAGTTTGTTCAGGCATTGAAAACAAATCACATAGCCTCCAAGTCCATGATGTGGGCAGGTTGTCCAACACGAACATCTTCATCCTGTGCGTCAACTTCAGTGCTTGAAAAATGTGATTCCTCTTCAAGTCATGCACTTGCGGCACCGTACGCCAAATTGTAGGCCTCGTGGATAATTCGAACTGGTTCCAACATAGGAGTCATTTGGATTGGACACCTGAGTATATACATGATCTGCGTGCAAACATAATTGGCTTTAAGCAAAAAGGAGTTGATATGAGTTGTTTGTTTGATCGTTTTCTAGGAACAACATCCAAACTTTGCCGCGGCTCTCGGGGCAGTTCTCCAGCTCTTTCTGCAGAAATGTTGTAGCATAGAGCTGAATCATGCTGGTTGTGTTGCTTCGGGCACATTCCTGAGTCGGTACCAGCAACGGAAGAAACTAATCTTCCCATCTCATGTTCTGTGGCCACGCGAGGTAAAACTCATGACTAAAAGGACTTACTGTGGGTGCTAAGGCTTCCACTTGCAAGAAAAAAATTACAAAAACACGTAGTATGCCTAGTTGCTGCCATCGTCGCATCTGGCAGGAATGTGCAAAAGTATAGGGGTACTACAGCTTGGGAGCACCAACACATGCAACCAGTTGATCAAGCCGCACCAGTGCGTTCACCCAACAGTGGTCTCCAAACGTGCATAGGGCCTAGGTGCCTACGCCCAATAACTGATTCATCTCCGTAGTGTCAGTGTTGGACTGCTCACCGCTCACCTGTGTTTTTGTTGTGCAGCTGACATTTCCTTCCGCAATACGTTTGCCTCTTCCCTCCAGTTCTTCCTCGCCAAATCAGAGAAGTGTCTTCGCTTGACACAGTCAGCTGGCCAGCATGAAGTCCAGCAGCCAAGTTTTGGGGCGGGAAACTGTGATATCTCCACCAACGGCTTCGCTCTCCCAAAGTAGTTCTCAGCCACTTCCAAGTGGCAAGCACCAGACCCAAGAGCCAACTCCTGAAATATCAGAGTGATTGCTTTGTCACAAACCACACAGCATTAATAGCCAGAACATGTTTATTTTGCCGTTGTGGATGTCTAGACCTCTGGAAAAAGGATGAAAGACGCACGATGGAGAAAACAAGCCCCCGAATGAATCGTGAAGCCACGCATGCTGACAAGCTGCGTGCAGCTCACCAGCTCAGCAGCTGTTTGAAGAAAGAACAATTGCCAAGAGCTAGCCATGCTGCACTGCAGATGTCTGCAGAACCAAAGGAAAGCGTCAAAAGGAGTGATGAAGAGAATACAGACTGGACGCTCTTGGATTTCCTCGTGGTTGGGGGTTCCTCTAACCGTGTCAGAAACCTGCGCAAAATGTTCAAGGTCCACATATCAAACCATCTTTCCTTATGGAGAAATCCGTTGCCCGCCCTGCACATCCTGCACAAAACAGAGAGGCCTTAAGTCCTTGGTCACCGACGAGCCGGTCAAGTTTGACTCATTTGTGTGGCTTGCAAACGGCAGATGCTGGACGTTCGATAGAAAAGCTCTTCTTATATAATTGGAAGCAGTAGTAACAAAGGGCATCGCTACTAGGAGCATTCTTGCTACTAGTAACAAGAAGACACTAGTTGCAGGTCTCAAAATGCAGAGGCTTTGCAGTCAGCCAGTGCAACACGCTATCCAGAACTGCTGATGAATGCCAGATTTATTGCTCGCTTATTCATTGAACATTTCGCCCCAAAGATGCAGCGGCATTGGAACTTGCGCATTACAGCAGCTCCACTGGGCCGACAGGGTCCACCCGGCCATGTGCCCACTCCACAAAAGTTCACCAGTCTCTTTCAACAAGATGTGGCCCCACCCACCCACCCACCCACTCACCCTCCTTGCATACATCCTGTGGAGATGGGACTGTGAAACAATTGAATTGTGTCATACCAAACCGTCTACCTGTACTTGCTGGCAAGCTGAAAATATAAAAGCCCTGTTAAATTCTTGGATGAATCCATCCGGTTGGACAGAACTCAAGGCTAACATTATATACAATAAAACAAAAACAGTCTCGGCTGCCGGACTGTCAAATCACCTCCGCGGTCTGTTCTCCCTCGCAGAAGCCATGGAGGACTTGGTGAAGTCCGTCTTTGAGCCGCACGTGTTGCAGTGTTTCAGCAAACAAATTATAAGCAAAGGTGTTGTGGCAGGTCTGACTTCCACAAACATGTGCAACATGTTTTTTTCAAGCCATCTCATAGCCTTCCGCAGGTCTTCAAGGATTGGAGGAGACGGCTCATCTTGCTTCCCCAGTCCAACATGGATATGATTCTTTTCTAAACACTCTGGCACACTGAGTACTGTTGATAATGCAAATAGAACCAGGGGATGAAGCACTTTGAAGCTCACTTCTCATTGGCACCACTCAGCACCATGTACCTGATCACAGCTTGCTCGAAGCAGACAGCAAACTGAGCAGGGGCTCCGTGGACGGCGCACGGCTTGGCATCGGCCGTCTGCGCATGCCGAAGTGCCCTCACGGAAAAGAACACTTCAATTGGTTCTCAAAACAAACTAGAAAGCAGTATACTAGGAGACAGGACGCTACTAGCAACAAAGGGCATCGCTACTAGGAACAAAAAGCTACTAGTAGCTCCTGGCATTACTACTAGGAGCAAGGGCGCTACTAGATATAGCAGGCATAGGAATATGAGGGGGGTCCATCTTGAGACGATCCCGAAGCAATCCCAGAAAACACAGGCATTCGACAGCGAAGCAACAACACAGCAGCTACGGCGGCCCTGGATGGCCTGAGTGTTGGTAGAGCTTCGATCACATTCATGCTCTTCCTTGACAACAGGACATGATTGGATGTGTCCGAGTACTCACATCTACAATTTTGGGTGCATTGACTGTTGAAACCACCTCGCCAACCGAGCCAGGAAGAGGCCCCAATTTGATATCGGCACGGTGCTCGATGCGCTCGCAGCGCTGCAGCTTGGCGTCAATCTCATCTCATTCTCCAAGCGCAGCAGCCGCCGCTCCATGTTCTTTCGGCCAGGCACCTTCGCTTAACTTGGTCTCAAGCCATGAAAGACGTGACACTGCATCAACTTGCCCAGGAATTTGGCCGAAACCTTCAAGCAACCCTATGCCGCTGCCTTGCCGTGGAACTTCCATGAGATGGAACGGAAGGCCTCCTTGGGCGTTTGCACCTGAAAACAAAGGACTTCATGGACTTCAGGTGCAGAAATCACAAGTGTTGGATTTCTGCAAAAAGGCCCTTTCTGGGTCTTCTCAAGCACTCAGTTGGAAAGTGATTTGTAGCACGATACACCGCCCTGTCTTTCCCGTTTTGGTATTATCCTACTCCTTTCACTGTCTGCTTCTTCTTTAAGTAACTTGTACAGCAGCAATACAAATTCATCTTCTTTGAGGATGCACCCAAAAATGGCGGTGTTTGCACCCTGTGTTATTCTACGAAGCAAACTGGGAACTGGACCCTTCCGAAGTCATCTCTGTATTCAAGCTTGATGTCTCCATCCACTGTAGACATCTCCAATGGACGGTTGTCAAGCTTCCGGATTCGGTGGGAATCCTGCCAGTCACTGAGTTGATGCCCTCACAACCGAGACTTCGAACAGTTTTAGTGTGTCCTTCTGAAAGTTCCTATTGTTCTTTTTTGTTGGACCCTTAAATCCTGTTTCCTTTCTTCCTTTCTTCCTTTCTTTCATTAATTAATTCTGTCTTTCTGTCTTACTTACTTTCTTTCTTCCCTCCTCTCCTTTCCTTTCTTTTCCTTTCCTTTCCTTTCCTTTTCTTTTCTAAATACTTGCCTACAACTGATAATATTCACAGCTGGGTGCATCTCCTGATCGCAACCTATCTGTGAACGTGCGCGCAAGTATTCCAAGCCACTGGCACCTACCAGGCATACATGCAAAGCAACTGGCCAACACCCGACGATTTTTGATGGAGGCCATCGCTATTGGGTTGGAGGCATTCGCTATTAGGTTGGAGGCCATCGCTATTAGGTTGGAGGCTATAGCAAGCATAGCATAATGAAGCAACACCAGACAACACCAGACTTGATGCTAGGCATCAAACAGCTCAGGTCGAGAGAGTCCTCAATGAGGGACTGCTCCTGGCAAAAGCAAGTCGTCCAAGTCCTCACTTATCTCACTCACTGCGCCAAGTCTGTCTACACACTCTGCTTTCCTTCTTTTTTTCCCTTTCTTTTCTTTCGACCTGAGACCTTTCCGTGTTATATACATCTTTTCATAATTGTGCCAGGTGTGCTAGCTCTTCCTCCACATCCTTCACAGCTGAGACCTTGTTCGTCCAAAGTGGTCCGTTCTGTCACAAAACCATTCTTCTCACACATCCGGTCGCATCCCGTCTGGGCTGCAGACTTCTTCGGCCAGGCCCGCCTTGCGTGCCTTTCGTTCACCAGCTGCAATGCCCTTCCGCTGAGTGGCCTGGCAACACAAGGATCGGAAAATCGGGCCATAACCGTCATAACAGGTGGGAAAACAGTTTTGCAGTTCGCCGGGTGTTCATCTCCTCAAGAAGGGTTTATAGATACTGTGTATCTTGATGAAGTTCGCACATATCATTTAATTTGGGTCTATCCTATTACCAGTAACAGTGGATGATGATGGTCAGTAAAGGCCTTGTTCACCATAGTGTTAATTGTTTACTGACTGTTGCAGGTAACAGGACATACCCAACATCAAATATTGAAAATCGGCTATGGTGATCTGAGCATATCACAGAACTGGCGCAAGGTATTCAATTTGACCCGTTTTTCTTGCTAGCATCTTCTAAGATTGAATTCTTTGCGGACTACATGCCAAATATGCCTCTGCCCTCCCTCAAACCAGAAAAAGCAGCACCTGCTGCTTGTACAAGGTTGACCCTCGAAAGCTCTCGTGCTTGAGTGTTTCAATCTTCTCCAAGGGGGTCTGCACCACATTGCAGAACCTCAGAACCATCCCACCCTATTAGGTTGGAGGCCATCGCTAATAGGTTGGAGGCCATCGCTAGTAGGTTGGAGGTCATCGCTAGTAGGTTGGAGGCCATCGCTATTAGTAACTCAAAAGAAAATTGTTGTTTTTTTTATCTCTTTTAACTTATGGTTTTTGTATTGGAAGCGTCTTCGTCTCCTTCTTCGTGTCTGCATGACTCCACAAGCAACATGCCAGCTGAGTCGCTCCGTGGTCGCGGTCAGTGCCACGTTCGTGTCTGAGTCTTTTTTCAGACCAAGAAGTTCTGGCAAGAACGGTACCAGACTAAAATGATCTAAAATGACGAAACACTACAGAAACAATGACAGGAAACCTCTTGAAGTTTGATGGTAAAGCTTTCTAAAACTGCAAATATCGCAATAGGCTTGCCTCTTTCTTTCTGTTCCTTTACTTCATCATCCTGACACGTCTTGGAGCAAACTGTGGCACGCGTATGGCACACGCAATTTTGCAATCTGTGCTAGGACCAGCCAGGAGCCTCTTCCCCACCCATCGTCTGGATGCGCTCTGAGACCTGAAGCAGAACAGTCTTGGAAATCACAAAGTTTGTCCAAAATACATGAAGAAAAGAAAACACAAAAGAAGCCAGTACAGTATGTTGGAGGCCATTGCTAGTAGGTTGGAGGCCATTGCTATTAGTTTGGAGGCCTGACAAAGAACAAACAGACCAGCTTGTAAAAGGACTTTCACAAGGCCGACAAGGAGGGTGTTTCTATGTTTCTCGCCTGGCATGTCATAGTCTCGCAATCGCATCAATACAAAAATGACTACAAAAGCCACCTGGGTCAAGGCAGCCTCTCCCTTCTTGGTTTGGCCTGCGAACGGAAAGGGAAAACTTGTTCTGCTGAGCAAGAATCTTAGCTGTGTGATAAGCTTCACCCTGCACCAAACACTTGCCTATTCCTAGTGGTTCTTTGCTGTTGTTCGATATATATACCCCGTTGGTTGATACCTTGCTACACCAACCCAGGCGGGGTGGGTTTGGACTTTGATGCTATGCCAGATCTTGCCTGTATCAGCACGTTTCACTAGACGCCGCTGCTTGGACAGCTGCTCGTAGAGCTCCGGATCCTTCCGCTTCTGTCGCTTCGGAGGTTCAGCTTTGGTCACAACAACAAGGAATTGTTCCTGATACATCTGCACAAAGAATTCACTTATCTTTTCCATCGGGGTCACTGTGGATGTACCACTTATCAAACTAGAGATGTAAGCTGACAATATCCGTGTCAAGCGACGGGACAACTCGGGTGGACAAACAGCAGTCTTTTGCGACAACACATGTCCTGTCGAAATGAAACCCAAACATAAAGTTCCAAAATGTTGCCAGCTCCTAAGACCCTGTCATTCCAACTCGTTCATCTCGAGACCGCTTCTATGAGCAAACAGGACAGACTACTTTCCGCCAAGTGGGGCTGGTGCATCTGGAGAAAGGAACAGGAGGACTGAGGTGAGGCACAGTTGCAAAGACTGTACTAGAGAGGACAAAACACACACATAAAAAAAAACAAGATGGAGCCCACGAACCCGAATGCAAACACGTTCGAAAAGCTACATATGTCCAAATGACACTCTTGTAGGACACTCTTGTGGGACACTCTTGTCGGACACTCTTGTAGGAAACTCTTGTGGGATACTCTTGTAGGACACTCTTAAGGGATACGTGGGACACTCTTGTGGGACACTGTTGTGGGACACTGTTGTAGGAAACTCTTGTGGGACACTCTTAAGGGACACTCTTAAGGGACACTCTTGTGGGACACTCTTGTGCGACACTCTTGTGGGACACTGTTGCGGGACACTCTTGGGACACTCTTGTAGGACACTCTTGTATCGCGCTCCCCAGTGGCACGGCGCCACGCAACCACACTTCCCACCCAGGCCGCGCAATTCCCAATGGCACTGCAACATCACGAACGTCGCGTCGCCACACGGTCTGCCCACACACTTGAAGCAAACATAGTTTCGCGCTCCCCCAGTGGCACGGCGCCACGCAAACGCACTTTCCATCAAGGCTGCACAAATCCCAATGGCACTGCGACATCACGAACGTCGTGTCGCCACACGGTCTGCCCACACACTAGAAGCAGTGACGCGAGTGTTTCGTTCGAGACCTCCTCCAAAAGTCACGCTTAGAGGCTGCAAGACGAGCGTTTCGTCTAAGACTTCCTCCAAAAGTCACACGTCAAGTCTCCAAAACGAGCGTTTCGTACGAGACTTCCTCCAAAAGTCACACGTCAAGTCTCCAAAACGAGTGCTTCGTACGAGACTTCCTCAAAAAGTCACACGTCAAGTCTCCAAAACGAGCGTTTCGTACGAGACTTCCTCAAAAACTCACATGTCAAAGTCTGCAAAACGAGCGTTTCGTACGAGACTTCCTCCAAAAGTCAAGCCCATCGGAGCACACACACATCACGCAGCCCTGCCAAGCAGTTTCGCGATTCCAGCCCCTCCAAACAACACCCGCTCACACGCCAATCCCAATGTGACAGCGACATTCACCTCTACCACAACTCACAACCTCACGATTCCCTGCGCCTGCCACGAATCTTTCCGCGTCCACACGTCTAACGCGCACAAAGTACTGCGCCTGCCACGAAATGTCACCTCCGTCACACCTCGCAACCTCACGATTCCCTGCGCCTGCCACGAAAATCGCACTTCCATACCTCAAAGCCCGCACAAAGCACTGCACCTGCCACGAAAAGTGACAATATCATCTCATGAGAGCTTCAACGAAATTTGCACCACACCACACGTTTGGAATGATTTCGACCCGTTCTGAGCACACTCCCATCCACCAAACTCGCCATTTCAGCTGAGACTTGTCACGAAAACAGAGCTTCGACGCAACACCCTGAAACGCAAATCTTTCCACACGATTCCTCGCTATTTCACACGAATCTGACACGTCACGTCTCCATCCGAAACCCTCTCCAAAAGCTTCCCCCAATGGCAGCGCCTTTGCGCTCTCTGCAAACGGTTGTGGACGGTTGCGGACGGTTGCGAACGGTTGCGGACGGTTGCGGACGTAGAAACAACGGGTCGCGAACAAGGCTCTACCCCCAGACCCCCAGAGTTGAACGAGAACCCTTCGCTACGCATTCGGGAATAAACATTTTTTTTAAAAAAAATATATATATATATATATCCATGATATATTATCCATGAAAACAGTCGGTCGTGGTGAATGCCAAGTGAAGCCTTGGAGCCCAAGACTATGATTCATCTTTGCTCCGCGTGAAGCATTCCAAGAAGGAGTAGTTTGCAGGGGTACCACATTCCAATGGTCAAACCTACAGTGCACGTGAGATATTTCAGGTCACGAGTACAGCGCACGTTCTGTGCGCTTTTTCTTGGAAGGTGAAAAGGCCCAACGTTCCAGGTTGGTGCGTCGATGCCTTGGTGCTTTGGCCAAGGTTGCTCCATTATGATCCTTCAGCACCATGGACCAGGCTCTCAACATGTTCAAAAGTGAGCGGGGAACAAGCTACAGAAAATTGAGGTGCAACAACGGAGAGACTGCAAAAATGGAAGTTGCGCCAGCGAAGTGGCTTCATAGAGCCCCTCGTTTCAAAGAGAAGAGGTCTGTAATCGTTAAGAGCACTTGAAAGCATAAGCTACTAGTATAAATGCAAGATAGCTCACGCTTCTTCAAGGAAGCTCCCCCGTGCTGGAGTACTGTCCACTGTGCAGGCATATGCGGCAATCATTCGAGCTGCATTCACCCATTGCAAGACCAAGCAGATTGTTGTGGCCCCACTTCATCTCGATAAGGGCAACAAGTGCAATGGGAAAACATTCCCAAAAGGAGCCTTTCATGGTGCTGAAGCCCATCTTGATAACTCTACCTTAGAGCTCCTTGCTCGTGCTTTCGATCGTGGTGCTGCTGCCACTCCTCACTCTTGGTCGATTCCATTCGACCTTCTTCTGTAGATGGTGTACATAGGACAACGTTGACCTCTGTCGCAGAAGCACAGGTGGTCGCCAACTTACTCCGAGTATGGTGTGCGAGAAGGAAGCTCCCCCGGCTGCCCGAAGCTTCCTTGAAGAAGCGCTCGCACTGATGACTTGGTTTCTAGATGTTTAGGGAAACTTAAGCTAACTTAAGTAACAAATGTTTTGACAGCAACCTACTCTAGCTACTCTAGCTATACCTTCGAAACATGTGGTGAGTTGGCGAGTCAGGTCTTTTGGAACGCCAGCTTTCCCCTTTTGAACCAACCCCAAGCCAAAATCCATCCACAGCAGTGTCCTCTTCGTCAGATCCAGCATCATCCGGTCGCGTCGGAGCTGGCATGGTGGCAAAAGGTTTGGTCTCAAAACAAACAGTATTCTTTTTTGGACCCGAGTGGCCCTGCCTCCCCTACTGAATTAAGTGAGTAGTAAGCTGCAGCTCAAGGTTCGCTCCTAGTTAGCTTCTAGTAACTGGAGGCAGGATAGCTCATGCTTCTTCAAGGACTCGCACTGATGATTTGGTTCCCTCTATTTTTAGAAAAAAAACTGAAGCATTGTCCTACCGGGCGTGATTTGAGACATGACACACCTTTTTGATAGAGGCCAAAAAGGGTCTGGGTCCCAAGAGAGCATGGGATGCTCGAAGAATGCCCTTTTGGCTGCTAGAGTGTTCCTTTTGTGCAGCCCTCAGATGAGAAACAAATCGACGCAACATGATTCTGGGGTCTTCTGCATGGCATAGTGTCCACCTTCTGTCTATAATGTGATTTTCCTTCTGAGGAAACAACTCAGATCTTATCGATCTTATATCGTTTGTGAGGCCGGAATGCTTTGAGACACCACATTTTCCCACGGGCCGCAAAGATCTTTCACCCTTTGCACAGGCACTCACAACTGTATTAAAGGCGATTTCGTCAGAGTTTTGAGAAGCGAAAGGGGCATCTTCAAGCAAAAGCACAGCTAGTTGCCACTCTGCACTGCATGCACTTATAGCAGCATTTCTCGATACAAGGTCCGCTCGCAGGCTGTGTCTGAGCTCATCAAACGCTGACAAGGCACCATTCCAGTGACCAGCAATTTCGAGAGCCTTCATTGCTCCAGTGTACACAAAGCTGTCGCATCGAACGCTGTGTACACAAAGCTCTCCGAAAAGTTGCAAGGCTGAGATCCACTTTCCAGCTTTCACGCAGCCACTTGTGAGCGCACTACATGTGACAGCATCCTTCTTCAACGAAGCTCCATGGAGCTCAAGGAGCAATCCCACAGCCTGTGGCCACCCCTCTGCCTTTTCGCATGCGCTCATGGCGCTATCAAAGCTGATAGCGTCAGCTTTGATAGTTTCACCTACTTCGGCCAGTACCACAAGCGCAAGTTCCCAAGCACCGCTGTCACAGCTGGACATGACAGCATTGTAGGTGATGACCTCGGTTTCACTTCATTTGCACAAGTCCATCCGCCTTGCGTGCTACCTTTAGACTCGTAGAAACACACCATCCAACCTAACTCTGCATGTTTTGCGATGGGTGCAAGACAGATTCAAAGCAAAGAAAAACAGCAAATCCGAAAATAAAGTGGCATGTATGGCACCTGATGACATCTAAGCTCATGACATCAACTTGTACCAACTGCTCCTTAGCTCTGTCCAACAAGCCCAGGGCTTGTTGCCACAAACCCGCTGCACATGTGCTGATCATGGCATTGTACGTGATCAGATCCGGCTCTTCGTGCCCTAGCATTTCCCAAAATAAGAGGAGAGCAACTTCCCATTGGCGTTCACATGCACTGATGGCAGTATTGTATGCCACCACGTGTGGCTGTAGATTCTTCCGTTGACACGCAGCCAAAATCCAAACAGCTTGCGTCCACTCCTGGCACGCAAAAACAACAACTTTCTCTTCTGACTTCCATTCTGATGTTCCATGAAACCCCTTAGCGTGAGGTAAGGAGGTGACAGAATGGCAACTACTCCCTCCTGTAAGCAGCACCCCCGACCGAACAGTTGCCCAATAGTTTCAAGAGCCCTTTGACACAGGCCTTCCAACAATCGCAAGTTTTTTGAGTGAAGCAACTACCAATCGTGTCTGAAAAGGCAGAGTCTGACATACACTCTGAAGCTTTACTACCCACTGCAAGTCTGAAAGTTTGACACACCACATTCCACGTTCCAAGGAACCTTGCATTTGCCACACGCATCCATTGCCGCACTGTACATCACTGCATCTGTCCGCACCTGTGATCTTTCAGCGCTGGCAAGCAAAATGAGAGCCAGTTCCCATTTTCCTGCTCGTCCGCAAGCACTGATTGTGGTACTGCAACTGACCACGGTCGGCTTTAAGCCTGATCTTGTTAAGTCTGCAAGTAGCCAACAAGCCCTTTGCCACACAGCCCCACTTGCACATGCAGACATTGCTGCGTTGAAAGTAATGACATCTTTCTCGTGGCGCTTGTGGCAGGCACCCAAAAGCAAAAGAGCTTCCTTCCAGCGCCCCGCAGTGGCACATGCACTGATTGCAGCATTGTAAGAGATCACTGTCGTTTCCAAATTGCACCCCTCTATCTCCGCCAGCAAAAGTAGCGCCGTTTGCCACTGCCCCGCCTTTTGACATGCGTTGATGAGGGAATTGTAGAGAATCACGTCCACAGCTGCTCGGCATTTCTCGAGTCCTGCAACCTGCAGAGCTCTCTGCCATTGCTGCTCTCGGGCATATCTGTTCACAGCAACACTGCACTCCAACAAGTCGCTCTGCAGTGTTACTTTCGTCTGAAGAGGTGGCATATGACTTCATGTTCAAAGCTACCCGGGCGCCACATCCACAAGAGCAATCGGATGAAAAAACGAAGGCGCTCTCAATGAAACAAAGCCAAAAGCTAGCAGTGCAAGACTGCATTGGCATCTATTTAGAGGCCTATTAGGTTGGAGGCCATCGCTATTAGGTTGGTGAGCTCCAAAAGGTTTCTCCACTCTTGCGTGGATTTGTTGGATTCATAAGACTGAAGTGCTTACCAATAATTAGTAGTAAGAATGCTCCTAGTAGCGATGCCAGGAGCCTCTAGTAGCTTCTTGTTACTGGGAATTGAATCTAGCATCTATTTCAAGTCTCTTGAATCCAACAAGGCATGCATTGGCATCACTCGGGGTCCTACGAGTCCCTCTTGTCTACGTCTGCGCTTTGAGAAAAGAACAACTCTATCTATCTATCTATATATATAAGCACTGCAACGATCCAGGATTTCTCGCTCAAGCCACTTGGTAAGGTGCCGGCCTTTCACATGCACTTTTGCAGGATCACCGATTTGGTCCTCCTTGTCTCCAGCCACCTGCAAATAGCAAAGTCTCTTGGGTGAGTCTGACCAATCTAGCAGCCGAGACTTCAAATCTACTTCAATTGACAAGTCACTACTCATTCACCAACCCTACAAAGATTCACAAGTGAAGAAGTCCAAACCAGTCAAAATGAGCCAACCCCCACCAGCTAGAGCCCTGGTAGGTAGAGAAGCTAGACATTTCCCCCAGTCGTCCATGTCTTTGCACATTCAGATCACGACAGGGCCGGCGCCTTGCTCCGGGCTTTCCTTTTAGGCTTTTTCGTTGGCCTTGGTTTTCGCTCTCGGATAGGCTAAGGTGGAAGCCAAGTCTCTGAACATTCATCTGCATCTTTGGAGCAAGCGGTGCGAACAAACAAGTCTGATGACAAGTCTGACAAAAGCCGAGGGTCTTCTTAAACTTTGCCATTTCATCTGAGGTGTAAAAGTCCGACTGGAACTTGTTCCCGAAGTCTAAGGTCTGATTCTCGCTCATTTGCGTGAGGATCGCCAACCTGACCGGAAGACTCAAAAAGTGCACAAGAACGATTATACAAATCAATGGCAAGCAACATAAAGGGTACACTTCGGATCCTTGCGCAAGTCATGGTACCATTACTTGGGGTTAATTTTGAGTTATATAATTTCGGCCATCGGGGATTTCCCAAGGCAGGGAACACCAAATGGCTGCCTGGAGAGGGATCTGATCAACCAGTTTGAACCATCTGTGCTGGCCTTGGCTTGGGATTCCTCTAGTTGTATCCAGTTCACTCACCTCAAAATCCTTTATTTTGACCAAGGAATCCTAAATGGCCCTGTGTGTCTCTTGGGAATGTGGCAAGGCTAGACCTTTGAGGAAAAGACGAGATGCTTGAAAATTAACACGTTTAACAAGTGAGAACCTTGCAGCTGACAGCAACATCTGAAAAGCATTCTTCCAGCAAACTGCTTGCCCAACTTGATCAGCTTGATCCCAGGAGATCCCAGGCCTTTTTTCAGGATCTCGCTCGTCAATGACACCCGTTGGCACTCCTCCAATCATGAATCCAGTTGGAGCAGCTCCAGGTTCATCGTACCTGGGTCCCCATGATGCGATTGGAAGCCAGAAGTGGGAGAGTGACACCCTGAGATTTTGGGGCCATACTCCAACCAACCAGTCTATGGCGTTGTATGCGGTTCCCTTCCTGTATGATCTTGCCAAGTTGATTAAACAAACACCAAACTTGTCCATACTCTCTTCAGGCATCTGCCCTCCCAGGGGCACTTGTCAAGGATGTCTGCATTGGGCTTGGTCGGGTCATACTCAACTTGTGACCTGGTAACATTCCTTTTGTAGAAAAAGAGCCCCACATGTGCAGAACCTCTGGAAAAATGGACTTCTCTGAATCATGTTTGAAGCCTGCAGCTAAGGGTGGCATGAACAAACCTTCCTTATTACAATCTCAAAGATCTCTCCACTGCCTGATGGCTTCGTTCTTCTTGGCCTTGTCGCTATCCAACCTAGGAGCACTCGCACCTATATAAAGCTTCCACCAAAGAGTGAGATACTTGAGCTTGGAGCAAATTGGTGTTCGAAAGCTCATCCTGCCTTGGATTTCAATCAAAAAGCCAAACAGGTGACAATCTCTGAAAATTGCAAGGGTCTAGTGCGAGAATGAACTGAAGAGCAAAGAATTGCAAACGATGGACTTTCAGCAGGGCTTGGAAAGGTCTGGTGGTCTAAACACCCTGCTTCCCGTACTATGACACGATTTCAGTTTGGACTAGAATAGTAAGTGACCCACACCCAAATCACAGCCAACACCCTTTTCTCTGCCCAGCGTCGTCTCCACCAAATTGCCATCCTTGTCGATCAAGCGCTGGTCGCTGAGGGTCATGACCACGGACTGACCATGGACTCCAAGGATTGGAATGTATTGCAATGACACCACAACCACTGGTCGTTTATCTCACCATTGCTATTAGTAGGTTGGAGGCCATCGCTATTCGGATGGAGGCCATCGCATACCGAAACCATGTGCCTCGCCCTCTTTGAAGGCTTCAGAGTCGTGTCGAACCTTCATCTTTGGCACCTTACACGGGCAATTTTTTAATGTGATGCTTCAAGCACCACGTTTTGAGCCCCAAGATCGCTTTCAAACGTTTTCAGCTGCTCGTGGTCATATTGGCATCTGGAAGCTTAGTAGAAATCACTCCGTTTGCTTCGAAGCCGCAGATCTTGAACTCACTATATAGTGGGGACCTCGTGCACGACCCAAGTTGGAGGGATTCAATTACACCGAGGCGCTGAAGAATCTGCACCTGGAGCATCTTTCCTAGCAAAAGGTCCAAACAGACACCCATACACCCCATCTTTGGCCCATTGAAAGAATGGTGATCTCTTTGGGACATCTTTAGTCTTTGAAAGCCCTCCTGAAGGGAATGAAAAAGAGTCAAGTACTTCTGGGTAAAAAGCAGTCCTCTTTTACACATGTGCGCCTGCCAATTCAGCTCCCGCTTCAAAACCGATTGACAATCTTAAAGGGAATCACGGCCTTTCAAGCATGCTAACACCTTGAACTTCAATTTTGGTAGACTCAGTGGTCTTTGCGGTTCTTTCAACCCTTCTTCTTGTCTGTGTTCGGTTTCTTCTTGTTAATGCAAGTTTGGAGCTCTATGCTGACACCCATAAGGACTCCATCGAATTAGATTTTGAAGACATGCGTTTTACCTTTGAGTTCTCACGCGGACCTCGGAGTGTTCTGCGGAAAAAAATAAGCAGTCCTCTTTTTGCCATCGTCTTTCTTCACGTTCACCCCAGCACCCTGCATACTTCCATCAGAACCACGTGTCCTGCACTCGGATACGTGAAGCTGCTGGCGAGTGAGCAGAAAGCAACTGCCAAGTCTGCAAGGTCCTGTTTACCCAGTCTGCCACTCCGCCTTTGCCTTCCTAAGTGCAAGTAGTCGAACAAGTTTCTGGAAGGTCTTCAGAATTGCTTCAAATCGCCTCCTTCTCCAGAATTTCACCCAAGCTGGCACCCTGAGTCAGATCCTGAGAGAACCCACACAAACCATGACGAAAAAGGGAAAACCCATGATCGCAATCTGCAAAACTCCTCATGATCACGCTTGGACTTCGCAGCAGCAGCCTGAGGTACTGACTATTTCAAGTGCAAGGCATTTGCTCCAAAGTTTGCAAATCCACAGGAAAACAAAAGTGGGCGCTGCCTTTCTCTTGGACTCCTTGTCCTTATCTTTGTCGCTGGGATCTACCTTCTTATCGGCCGGCCTGTGCACCTCAGCGGAGTTCACGCTCACAACTCTCTCCTTTCTGTTTGCTGGGCGTGGTGGACACACCCTCACTGAGGCTTCAGACGGGATCGTTGGAGGTGCCCTTGTTGCCTCATAGTGACAAATCATGTGAAAAGGCATCCTGTCACATATCTCAAACAAGACTACACCCAGGCACCCCAAAGCAGCTGAGCACTAGGTCAGTAGGGGACCAACTCTTTGAGCCACTCTCGTCAAGCTTCTTGATACCCAACCTGGCAGATTAGATTGATGTGCAACAATTCTTGTGCCCGGTGAAAACCAATGACCGCCATGTTCCATATGCATTTTGAGGTGAGAGCCCACTCGCACGGTGTCCGAAAAAGTAAACTTTGCCGGCACCACTTCTGTCGGAGCGCATTGCTCTCTTCAACACTTTGGCTAATCTGAGGACGGATCAATCAATGTGCATGGTTCTCTTTCATGAGTCACAAGACCAACCAAACGCTATCAGGCCAATCACTACTCACTCATCACTCAACGTCAATTGGGCTGTGTCAGGTTGCACCTCGCCGCCTTTCGGTGGCATTCTGGACGTAGCCACGGCCAAGCCTTTTCACAAATCCAGTCCAATTGTAGATTTCCTGCTCCAGTCTTCTGGTCATCACCCGTTTCGCAGAAGCTATCTGCTATCTGCTTGGGGTCATGCCACTCAGTGTACAATGAACACACAAAAATCTTCGCATATATAGTTTGTAAAGGGATGTTCATCTGGGTCTTGACCCATGCAAAGCTGTCTTACAAACAGAGCGACACCTGCCGACTTTCCACGCCAAAAGGCCGTGTCCGCCTGCCCGATGCCGCCCACTGCGCGACAGCTGCGGGCAGCGCCGTCGTTGGGCCGATACCAATCCGACAACTGGAGCCCGAGAGAACCGGCGGTGCCAGCGCGGTCAGACATCGGATGCTGCAAAGTGTCGGAAGGCCAGAAGAGCCTACAACCAGCAACAAGTGCATCGCTACTAGTAGCTAGAAGCTACAAGTAGCAAGGTGCCTTACTACTAGTAGCTTCTTGTTACTAGTAGCATGCACTTGTCAGAAGAGCCTACCACTTGCTGCAAACGAAGTCGCACATTTCCCCAACCTCCCGTGGCTCACGGCGACTGCGAGGTCAGAAGTTGACGACGTCGGTTCGTTAACTGGTGCGGGTCGAAAAGCACCCCAAAAAGCGAGGAAACATCGCTGAGATTAGCTTTTCACACTATGTTCAATTTCTTTCAGTTGTAGTGACCGCGCAAATCGACAGAACAGCGAAGCACCCTCTAGTAGTATGTTACTAGAAAAGCATACTTTAATTGTTCTTTAAAGAACCAAAAGTTGTAAAGAACAGCTTTATCATCTTCCTTCTATTTTCGACCCATACCCAACTCGATCCACACTTCGCTCTGTGGGGATCTGCACCGCTTCACTCAGCTCTTTCCCAGCCTTGGCTTGAGAGGACACAAAAGCCATGTTGCTCGGCGAAATGCGGCCGGCCGGCCTTGCAATGACCGTTGGCCCAAGGACCTTCATGTCATTGACAGCCTGGAAAAGCATTATCATTCGCATCAAAATGTTTAAAGATTTCTTGCTCCAGCAATAAGCTCCAAACAAGTTAAGTTTCCCTAAAGATCTAGGAACCAAATGAATAGTGCAAGCGCTATCCTGCGTCCGAGGTAGTAGCTACTTAATATACTAGCTACCTAGCTACTACCTCCCTCTACGGCCTACCCCCGCGGGCTTAAAAGAAAAACTCTATATAGCTGCTTTTTGAAAAATCGACCTCCGGGCACCTCCAGTGCACAGGCCGCATGCGCGGGCTGTGCGAATTGGATGAGCGCATCAGCCCCCACGCCAATCGCGTGGGAGCGGCGACGGATGTAGGCGATCTCACCAGTGGTTGCGAACGGAGTCTGAAAAAACAAAAAAATAAAAAGGCATTAATCAATGGATCCCTCTGGCCAATTTCTACACAGTCAAATGGCTCAGGTTTGATGCACTTCCCAAATGTAGTTATATAACTAATCCATAGCTCAGACACGGTGAAACGGCCTTCCCAAAGCACTCCATGCGTTGCCGCAGCACTTGCATGGTCAAATGGTATGGTACCTCTCACGTGCCAAGGCAACACTCGACCAAGGCGAACTGCGCAAAAGGAGGACTGCCGCAGAGCGCACTGGGCTGATCACAAGCTGAGCTTCGGGGCTTTCTTTGGCCTCAGCAAGATTCAATAGTTTGTGGAAGGTCGAAGACACGTGACTTCATGCTCTATTTGAAAAAGCTATCGATGGTTGCTTTGAAAAAACAAGGCAATTGTTCAATCAACCCGGAAGCATCTCGAGTGCACCAGCTTGCCTGAACGGTGCTGCGACTGGAGAGGCCAATGGCCCTCACACGACCCACTTTGTCCAGGAGCTGGCACACCGACAAGCAAACAAGTGCATCGCTACTAGTAACAAGTGCCTTACTAGTAGTAACAAGAAGCTATTAGTAACAAGTGCCACGCTAGTAGTAACAGGTGCCTTAC